TACCAACGCTACCAACGCTACCGAGCTAGCCCCGCAGCCCGACCAGATACCCGGCTTCGCTTGACAGCTGCCAATTGGACGGCAGTGTTGCGGATTCGGGGAGTCCGGCAGCCAGCCAGCACGTGCGATGATTACAGGCTAACTGCGGGCTATGAAGGGACGTTGCGCATGGAGACAGAGATATGGAACAGGAACAACAGCCCATTGGCCCTCGCTCGAAATTTATATGGAAATTTCAATACCAGTGCTGGTGGAAGTGTCCCGGGCTGGAATACCTCAATTGGCGACCGAACTTTCGGCATCCAAGTCCCTACCTGGGTAGCCGAACCCAAAGTCTTTCTTTGGGGGCAATATCTAGGAACAAGGTTACCATATAAATTACTAGCGTTGTGCCACAGCTTTTTTGTTCCACGTCTCCATGTACCGGCCAAAGGCACAGCGCATTGATCGATTTGAAGGTCCAACAACGTGGTATCCCCAGCCCTACTTCGCGAGAAATTGATACAACCAATAACCTACTGCGTGTATACTGTATTTTGTTGACAATTGATAGCTTCTCTTGAGCTTCTTTGCCAGGTTGTATGTTGTGGATATGCAGCAAGTTCTACGCCGAACTTGTTCGTCAACCCAGGGACGCGCATCATGTTGCCATACATCCACTTACTTGGACGTCCTGCATGCACAACCCTGTCGAGCTCGGATCAATACTTGTGTCAGGGGATGATGATGATCATCATGACGGATTGGTGCAGAAGACCGAGGGGAGAGAGACCGTTATCTACCTCGCAAGCTCCAGAGGATGCTATATTCCCTTCAAGCAGTTCTCGTTCATAAGTAAATAAACCTCAAAGGATTCACGGAATGGTTGGTTCGATTGATTCCATATAACCCATAAAAAACAAAACAAAAAACAGTCGATTAGACAAGCCATCCTCCCGGACCGCTGGGGAACGCCGGCAACACACTGGTCCCATTGGGGATGGCGCCGGCGAGTCGTAGGAACGCGTTCGCGGAAGCTTCGAGGACGAAGGGGACCAAAAGAAGGTTTTTAGCTTGGAGGAGCCTCGCCCCCTTTTTTGACTCTCGAAGGGTTTTAGCCTTGTTTTTGGGGCCTGGGAGGGTTCCTTGGTACGCTTCCCGTGTCTGGTTGAAGCTTGAAAGGTTGGTAGGTTTCGGAACCAACGTCGACCACAAACATATCCATCCAATGTACAGATCTGTACCGATGTACATAGTAAAGAAACGACCGTGTAAGGTGTAGATGTAGATGGTCACGGATCGATGATAGATAGGGCAGACGATGGAGCGCGCTGCAGGAGCTGGAAGAATAGGCAACAAGATACTCCGTACAAGATAAAAGTACTCCGTATATATAAAAATACACACAGAAGAAGCCCTTTCCCAGCCCCTATTCCCGCCCCCAGCCAGGCCAGGCCAGCCAGGCTAGTCGTGCTCCTTATGCACGCCCGATCTCATCCTGCACCAGGGTTTGCTGCTGCCGCCGTCACTCGCTCGCGACAGCCATGGCATGGCATGTCACCGTCGCCGTCCGTCGCTGAGTTCTTTGCGGCGTGGGAGCAACTCTCGTACCCGTTGACGGGCTGAATACTCAATACCACATACCACACTCGTCTATCTCTTCAATCTCTTTTTGACGGTGACAGCGAGATTCACTAACTGCTGCTCCTTTTCTCGCTCTTTCTTCTCTCTTTTTCCCTACGCCATCTACATCTCAAACCCCCAATCTATCTATCGAGTCGTGCTCCACGAAGCTACCGTCCTCCACCTGACACAGCTTCCATTTCGTCCCTTTTCCCCTGTCACCTCCACGACAACGGCAGCTACCACTACTGCTCACGTTCGTTTTTTGTTCTTGGAGAGGAAACGAGAAATAGAAGAGAGCCTGGCGAAGACAGGAAGGTCATTTATGCTTCTGCGTTCTCCGGTTTACTCACTCACCCGGCCCCTTTCGCGACGACACATCCTGATGTAGCTTCCCACACGCCTGATTTACACCTCGCGGCCACGCACCACAACCACCACCATTACTCCTACTCCTGCTTCTCAATTGACGTTTATCTGTTTAATAAATAGATCAAATACTCGACATTATCTATACATACCTCAATGGCTGGACCTTGACCTATATACAATTCAGCACATACCTTGCCGGGCCGAGCCTCCTTCACCACCCAGCTTCTCCTGCTTACATAGAGACATCATCCGATAGTTACATCGACTACTCGCCGTTCGTCAGTTCTCTCCCTCCTGTTCTCCAAGTTCCAAAATACAAGACACAAAGATGTACATACTGAATGCAGTGCAGCGGGTCCTTTACTGTGAAATTTCCTTGCCAAGCTAGCGGCTAACGTCATGTATAGTTTTAGGTAGTGAAGAGACCTTGAGAGACGAGCATTCTATTCCCGTGCGAACAACAACACAACAGAGCACAATACAACACAACATACCTGACAATCCTTCCACGAGAATCTCTAGAGACAAATTTCCTACCTGCATAGATATAACACTCTACATCGGGCTCCTTGCATTTCGGAAGTTTGTTCATTCGTTCGTTCGCCTTTTTTTCCGCCCCTTGAATTTCTTTTCTGAAAGGATAATTTCCCCTTTCACCACCACCAACCAGCTCTGGCCGTTGTTGTGGTATAGATTGATTTATGCACATGACTTACCGTTGAAGTGTAAATGCTTAAATAAATACGAAATCAAATATATGAGTGAGACGGGGAATATACCTACCCACTACCAACCTACCTCGATTCCTCAATCCCCCGCCGACCGTTGAGCCTTGGACAGAATAAACTGAAACACTTCCTTGATATTACGACATTGTCCAACCTTAACTCACTCATTCAATACCACCCCCCTCACTAAACCCTGGGCAACGAGGGCATCAAATTGTTTGTTTATTTTTGTTCCCCCCTCCTGGCGTCTATCACACCCAATCTCGTTATTGCGGCGGTTGTCTTTTCGTTTGTTTATCGCAACGAGTTCTTCATATAGTCATGCACGTATGACAGCAGTAACTGGAACTGAAGGATACACCCATACCCATCACTACCCATTCACCCACATATATCCACAATGCCTTCCGACTTTGAAAATGACTATACATACCTGGGAACATCCCTACCCACGGGAAACGACAAGAAGCCCTACCGGACCCCCTCAAACCCAATGTCGCGCCGCCCATCGCTCCACCGCAGAGATTCGTCTCCAGGACCCGCCTCCTCCCCTCCGCGCTTCAACTCCGACAACCGGTACGAATCCGATGGGCCTGTCAGCCCAATTGACGCCGCAAATGATGAGACAATTTCTCCCCTAGATCCTCGACGGTTCACCCCAACCTTACATGCCTCTCTCGTTTCCGAGATCTTGTCCCTGCGCCGCGACATGGAGGCGAAAGCGAAGGCAATTGATTCTCTTGAGATGACCCTGGAAACGGCAAAGTCGGAAGCGGAGTCTTTGAGCGAGACGCTCGCAAGGAGCTCCAAGGAGAACCGTTCATTGAAAAAGCAGATACAGCTTCTTGAGGGCGGTTCCATGTCTGCTATGACAGAATTGTCCAAGGAGCGTGATGATGCTTTAGAGAACATTGCGGATTTCCGCAAAAGACTTGAACAGTCACAGAAAAGAGCGCGTACTCAGGAAGAAGAAATTGAACGGACCCAAAGGCTGTGGGAGCGGGATAAGCAGAATTGGGAGGAAGAGCGGAGGAACTGGGAACGGAAAGTCCACGTCGTCGAGGGACGTCTGAAAGTTGTTCTCAACGAGGTTGCAGCAGCTCAGGCAGCAGGTTCATTTCCTCGTGGTGTTGATGGAGACTTTGATGATTCTGTTCGTGATGGCATGATGGCAAAGGGTAGTGACACCAACAGCATCCGCTCGGGCAGTGTCATGGGACGGCGACGTACGAGCACTGCAAGCGTAAGTACCCATGACGGCGATCTGCATAATGTAAGGTACTCCGTCATGAGTTTTGCCAATGGCCATGGACACAAGGTGGACGGCTTGAACCTAGCAGACGAACTCGCATTTGACGAGGAAGAGGAAGACACATTGGGTCTAGATGACCGACCTGATTCGAGATGCACGGTTCCTGACCACGAAAGGCCCATATCAATGCAATCGCGACGGATGAGCAGCAGGATGGCCCGGCGTACGTTCGAAATACCACTTGACGGGCATGAAAGGTTCGGCACTCCCGATGTGCTTGATCATCCAAAAAATCTGAATGTGATTCCGGATGTCGAACAAAATGAAAAGAGGACTACCGCTGTACCACAATTGGAATATAGGGACATCGGAATCCAATATACTCCACCTCCATCCCCTAAGGTTGTACCGGAACCCCATCAAGTCGTTATCGATGAGGCTCCCCCGGTGTATGGAGCGAGCAATGAAAATCAAGAGAAAAATCAAATGTCCTCCAGTACAGAACCAATGCCTGTATACGAATCGAAGGACAGTAGCACCGTCACTGCGCCTGTCCTCACCACCTCTTCTGCATGCCAGACAACTGGAGAGCCTCCAAGCCCTCCTTCAACCCCAACAGTTGAAGAAATTCCATCAGAGGAGTCCACACCCATAGCTTCTCAGGGCTCCCGTGACTGAAATTCCATCGGTAGCAACGGCTTCACCGCTCAACTCAAACAGACGATGTAATTATCAAGGACAAAAAAACCCAAACCCTAGAACAAATAATCCGACAGGCAATGCCAATCCCCATGATCACAATCGAACCCCCCGGCTCAAACCCCCCATCCGCCAGGAACAGCGTTGTATTGCCCCCACAAACCAAGAGTGTATCATGTCAGACATATATCGAACCACTCGCCGACGTCCGGTCATGTGGCATGCAAACAGAAGAGATTCGCGTTGATAAACGTAGTGCCAAGCTACACGCAAAACTCCTCCCATCCGCAATTATAGACCCACCAATGAGTCCAGAATCCATTGATCTACCTTTACCACCACCCATCCAAGAATTTCACGTACCCCCGAAATCTGCAAAACGACGACTTCGAAACCCTCCCTCAGCTGAGCCTGCGCCGCTCACACGGCCTTCCTCAAAGGATAAAGAACCCGAAAAGTTGCAAGCATATCCAGGAAATAATGACAATGGTCCCCTTTCTGAGGATACGAAATTGGAACTTCGACGGCCGTTCAGGACCAGCAGTTTATTTGCTGGCTTTGAACATATTAGTGATGACGAATGGCAAGAGCCACAGGAGGATCTGTTTAGTGATGACGAGCTCTTCAATCGACCCCTCGCATCTTATACACTGAGAGCTGGCAAGCTCGTTACAAAGCCGGCGCCCTCAATACTGGACGACAACCCTCTCGCGGAGCGTGAGGAACACCCAGAAGAAGTGGATGAATCACATTCGCCGAAATCAATAGTTGAAACAAAAGCTCCCAACGGCCCTCAGCCCCGTGTTGTTCCCGGTGGGAAATTGCCATCTGCTAAACGACCGCCCAGACCTTTGAAATTAGGTAATGTCGCGAAGCAACCTGATATTCGCCGCACTGCCATGATTTCCAGCTCTACTGCCGCACACCAGGCGTATAGGCCTCGCAGTCCCAGTGCACCTAGCATCGGCAGCAGCGCTGCCTCGACTAGCACCGCAGCCAAACCTCCTTTCCCCGTTCCGGTGAGATTGAGCTCGCGCAAAATCCCAGTCAGCGCGAGCGAGGGCGCTCAGAGTCCGACGCCGTACAGCAACGGAAATTTCCCGGAGCGGGGCTTTCTATTAAGAGAACCTCCACTTCGCAAAGCTCGCTCGGCCGCTGTGGTGGCTGGGATGCATCGTCCCGATCGGCAGCAAAGCCATTCTCCACCAACAATGTCGACATCATCAACCTGCCCCGAAAGCCCACACCTCCCACCCATGCCTGTTGATGAAATAACAGCCCCCCGGCGAAAGAGATCTGGTAAACTGCATTCAAATCGACAAGTCCCGCCCCCTGCCAGGTCTCACCGGAGAAACGAGTCAGTCAATACCAACACAAGCGTACAGCAGACTAGTGTCGTTGATGCGATCGCACAGACCATGGTGGGCGAATGGATGTGGAAGTATGTTCGTAGACGAAAGTCATTTGGTATGACGGAAAGTAATAAAGACGGATGGGAGCTAGGCAAAACCACCGAAGAAGTTTCTGCAAACATCACTGGGACCGGCGTTAGACATAAGAGATGGGTATGGCTTGCACCATATGAGCGCGCAGTTATGTGGAGCAGTAAACAGCCCACCAGCGGGTCTGCCTTGCTGGGTAAGAGTGGTCGAAAGCGTGAGTATTGTCCTGTCCAAGGAGCAAGATGCCCTGAATAAAATAAACTTTGTGAAAAAAGGAAGAATTTTTCTTTGGCTGACTGGCATTTTTTCCCCAAAGTAATGATTCAATCGGTCCTTGATGTCAAGGATGACAATCCGCTGCCCAAGGGCTCCGGCCCTGGTAGCCACTTTAACCGGTCGATTTTGATCCTCACCCCACAGCGAGCTCTGAAGTTCACAGCCATGACATTGGAACGCCATTTTGTCTGGTTAACCGCGCTGTCGTTCTTAAGCCACTCTTCGATGGGCGCTAACGATCTTGCTTCCCTACCCCCCGTTCCGCACGAAGAGTATCGCCCACCCCCAGGTAGTATGCTAAGGCGCAACCCAATCCGCGACTCAATTCGCATCGCGAAGGGAAAGGCTAAACCAACACCGTCCAGCTCCAACCGCTCATTTGTATCGCATCCATCTGCCGTCCCTGAGCTACCTTTCGATGAAGCCAATGGAACCGAAGCCATCAACGACATCGCTGATCCCCCAAATGTCCCAAGATTCTCCTCCCATTCACGCAAGAGAAGTAACACCGCACCACGCATACCGCCAAGTGCATTCAGAAGTTTCTCCAACCACACCACCGCGCCGTCCACACACAGCACCACAACTGCAGGGTCGTCCGATATCTACTCTCCCTCAATCATGGGGCCATCAGGTGTACAGAGCGGCCAAAGCAGCTTTAGCCACCGTACGTCCGAAGCCAGTGGCCCATCTAGTGTTGGCATGAGCAATTTCTTCGAGGCAGTTGGTACGGTGCGGATGGAGGCGTTTGTGGACCGGAGTGAATATCCCCGTCAACGGATTGGTGGGCGTAGTCATAGATCGAGACACGGCGGTGTTGGAGGTAGTCGAAAAGGACGGAATGCGCATTACTGGCCCCCGAATAGCCCTGACACTGAGTTTTATGGGTCTGAGGATGGGGATGTTCTGTTTCGAAATGAGGATCCCTTTCGAGGGTTCTAGACCGGTTGTTTAAACACTGAAACCGGAAAGACTTGGCGAAGTATTCCGGTTCTTATCATTGATATGAATCAGACCGGCATATTTCTATTTGTACCGCCTGTGTTTTGAAGATTTGTTTGTGTGGATTTGGTTTCCTCGTCAAAAGAAAACGTTGGGGGAACTCTGAGTGATGCGGAGAAAGGTAAGCAGGAGATGGACATGGAGGAAGAAGAACCATCAATTGATACGATACCACTGTACAAATAACTTTTCGGGGAAAAAACTAACAACCCCAGTCTCTTCATTCCTTTTTCCTTTGCTGTATTTCTTTGTTGTATTGTCGTGAGCTTTCCATCTTTCATTTCTTGTTTTATTTATGTGGTCCACCTCTTCGTCAGAAACTATCACCGGTGTTTCATTTTCATTATTTGTCTCTTGACTCTCCATCAATCTAATCGTTTTTGTCAAACGGTGGCGCCCGATGGATATGGATCTTTTTATCCCCTCATTTTCTTTCTGATCTTGTCATCATGTTATATATCTTGGTTATATTGAACTTCCCACTTTTGTTAATATGTATTGCAGCGGAAATTCGACACCTGGTTGTAGGGTGTTTTGATCAATCATCCTATCAGATAGTGATATATTCGTTCCCTTTTTGTTGTATATTTATTGTATATCTGGCTAGGAAGAAGTCAATGTCCGGTTTGTCTCATTTTGTGTCAGTGTGAAGGAATTCACAATAGGAATAGGTTACAACAGACTTGAATCCAAATCAGGCAGGCAGCAGGGGAAGAAATAGATATATACAACAACAGGACGATGCAAACGAGTCTTAATATATCTCATACCCAAGTCTGAGACTCGTGGCGATGTCATTTCTTGTGCATTGATACAGTTCCTTCGTTCAACTATGATGATCGAATCTGAATACTAACAGGGATAAAAAGACTCACTATATAGGACTCGGAGACAAAATCGAAGTAGACAGGGTCCGCTAGTTGTTATCTTGGCTGCATGGGCATTGCGAATCAAACGTCGAAGGAATGGGAGAAAGGGGACGGGAGCGAGGAGTGGCCTTGAGCCGGCCGGCGCATCTCTCATCCCTCTGGATATGAATGAGAATATGACACCGAAGACGCAAAGGCTTAGCAGTAGTCAATCAGAATGCTGGAGGGAAACACACAAGACCAAAAAAGACTGGGAAATGGAGGGAGGCAAGATGGCGAGGATGCAGCCTGCCTGTATCCATCCATCTCCCTGCCTCTTTCTCAGAAGCGTTCCACTGCCTTTCAATATATCCCCCTCTTCCCGTGTAGGACAAGACAACATCTCACAGCTGGTTCGGAATGCGACGGCCCAACGCGCAAGCCAGCAGCCAGCCTTCTTGGATTCCGTCTGTCACGGTTCCTATTGCTGTGGCGCATCACTATCAATATTAACACCGTCGTTGGTTCAGAATGGAACTGGTTGTGCAGTGAGCCGTTACCCAGATACAGCACTTTGTGCCTGCGGTGGGTCTCCCAGATATGCAGCTCAACAACTCAACCCGGTTCAGTTTATATTGCTGTCCCTTTTGCAACGAGCACGAGCGGAGCAGGTTTTTGAATAGTTCGTCCCAATAGTGCTGGGCTAGGTGTAATCATTTGGGAGGTCAGATTGGGGGGACTGTGAGCAGAGCTGAGCGCCAGACTGGGCATCGTGTTACATGTATATAGCATGTGTGTGCCTCCTTTGATTCATCTCCTGATTCTGGTTATCCTTTCATTGTCTTTTCCCCTCTTTGTATGCAGGTGTGCATGCAGCTAGTAACTTCGCTAACGGGCTTTGAGTAGTACATATAAAAACAGGAATGAACGCGGG